CGGAACGCGGTCCTTTATTCCGTGACGGGATTGGAAAGAGTATATAGCGGTATCGAACCGGATTGCAAGTCACACCCTGTACCACCAACTGAGCTAAGAATGATAGGTTACCGAGGATTTTGGCCGAGTTGAGAGGGCGTCGGATTACTGTTCCAAAGGACGTTTGTTTCGATTCCCGGCATCCGTGGCATTTTTGAGCCATGCCATCCTCCTCTCCCCCCTACGTCATCAAGACACCATACCACTTGGCTTCGTCGAAGAACAGACCGGCTGCGGACCAATGCTTGGACCCATCAGCAAGTACCCACGGTTATTTGTGACCACGGATTGGTAAAATCATGCCGCCTGCATGCATGCGCATTTGTGTGTCGCCGCCGTAGGGGTATGTTTCTAACTCTCGAATACTGGCATTATCAACTGCTCCACTCGAATTCTCGGCTTGGAGATACATGCACTTGGGTGTATACCGGCGGCGTGAACCATTGGAGCTGAGCTGTGTTCGCTGGGGCGGGCTCGGGATGAATGATCTGGCGCCTCCCACGTTTCTGCAGTGGTAGCACCGAAGTCGAGGCACCACCAGAACCGACTTACAACAGTGCGTTCATTCGAACGATACGGTAGGATTATCTCAGCCGCGCATCGCAGCTGTGTCGTGTGCGGTACCAGGCACATGTGGATTGCTTCGCGCTGCGGCCGACGCGAGTTGGCAAACCAAGGAAGAGAAACCCACGGCAAGCACTGCCATGCCTCGAAAGAGTATGGACGTGATTCAGCCGGGGATCCAACCTGCGGTTCTACTCGTGTCCAGGCCAACGTCGCTCTGTAACTCGTTGACCATCGTCGAAAGCATCCAAATCAGAAACACACCCACCGCAGCCCCACCCTCGTCACGCCGCTGTAGTCACAGAACGCCCGCTATCAAACCTAGGCACCGCCGTGAGACACACGTGAAAGCCACCACCCCCAGCAAACTCAGACGCATATCGCATCGATCTGACGGATGGACGGGTGCACCCATACGACCCCGGCTTTACGAAGACGGAACATTCCAAGAGGCATCCAGTGTGCGCAGGTTTGGCTCCTTCGAATGACAAGAGTCATTTTGAAATTGCGCTCGATCCTCTCCAGTACATATGAAGTTGTTTGGCGCTATCCTCGTCGCGTCCGCTGCTGCCACCAAGCAGTCCGTGAGCACGCTCTCAGCTGACGAGCGCTCCGTGCTGCGCGCCGAGTTGAGCAAGTGGCGCAAAGAGTTTGGACCTGCCGCCAAGATGCGGGGGCTGATGCCCCGTGCCACCGAAAGCTTGAGTCCGTTGGAGGAGGAAAACGACGCGCTCCAGCGGTTCTACAACAACAAACTCGCGATCGAAGAGGCCCGTCGCAACAACCCCGAAGCCACGTTCAGCTCCAATCACCCGTTTGCTCTCATGACACAGGCTGAGTTCAAGAAGTTCGTGGAAGGTGTGCACCTGGAGGAAAGCCGCAGTGCGTTCCGCTCGGTTCCCGAGGCCGACTTGAACGTGAGCAGCGTCAAGGCGGCGTCGGTGGACTGGACCACTGGCAATTGCGTCAACCCCGTGCGCAACCAAGGCCAGTGCGGATCGTGCTGGGCCTTCTCGGCCGTGGGTGCCGCGGAGTCGGCGCACTGCATCGTGACGAAGGACCTCCTCGACCTGTCCGAGCAGCAAGTGACGAGCTGCTCCACCGAGAGTGGCAGCGACGGGTGCAACGGC